TAACTGATAAATAGAATAGTTGAATGTGCCCTTTGTAATATTGTAGATTTGATGGTTTTTAAGAATGTTTTTAAAAACAGTGGTGAAGTCTTTATTTTCAGTGTTACTTCATTATTTGTTTATGGGCTGTTCACCTGCTCAGATTGAAATAAATCTCTGTCTTAAGGGACTACTCACTGAGTCTTTGACTTGAATTCTGATCCACATAGGTGGTGAAACAACTTCAGTTGCTGGATTCTTTTATTACTCAGTCAAAAAATTAGGTGCGCACGCAATCCTTCTGTTCTGCATCTTGGAGGCTATCATCACCATCATTATCAACATAGGACCAGGCATTACTGCGTAACGGTCCGAGTTGCCACACCTCATATCAGCACATCAAGTAAAAAGGTAGTGAGGTGAAGGATGAAGATAAGTGAATGCAGTCAGAAGAAATATAAAGTATGAGAAGAAAGGAAAGAGGAGTGACAGAATGGTGAGATTCGGTATAGCGTTGTTAAGATGAGGATAATGTGTGTATACATCTGCGCCACTGACTTCGGTTCTGAGCCATATCACCTAGGGTCTCCAACCACTGGTTCCTCTTGTCCCGTGGACCCCAACCACCTAGTCTGCATCGTCCTACATGGCTTAAACCAACAGTCAGAGACTTCATACATTGGTGCCATGTTTTAGTCTGGCCACCTCGGGCCTTTTTCCAGCCTGGACCTTGGAGGCTATCTACACCGTTGGTTTGGAGTCCAAGTTTTCAGACTCTGCTAGGTAGACTATCCATATCCATCAGTTCGGTTATAAGCGTTGAGCATTCGATTCATTGGACTGGATTTATATCCATAAGCTTGCTGGATTGTTTATTGACCTGAAGACTAGAGATTCTGATATCTTTAGTTTGGTTTTTCAAGATTCCTACATTTTCAGTTGACTCGGTAACCGTTCTTCTTTAGGATAGATATCAAGAAATTTTCGTCATTTCTGTATAAAGTTGTTGCTACGCCGTGTTGTCACTCCTTTGAATAACTTATGTACGCAACTAATTGTCTGCTTTGTTGAATTGTTGCTGCTGAGAAAAAACAAACAGAAAAGGCGGTATGTTGTTTGATTCATTCTCTTGTGAAGTTGTATGTCATCAGAAACGTTGATGATCAATTTGTAGTTGTTTTCAATTCAACTTTTAGGCTGATAAAAAAGGTGTCGTTCAAGTTTTCGCTTTGAAAGCTAGTAAAACGATAGTCTCAGGTCTTTGCATTACTTCATCTTCAATTAATCCAGATAGTAGTGACTTTATTGGATTTCTTTTTGTTGGTTTGTATATTTTACCACTGAATTGTGGTGGATGAAAGTCAGTGAGCCGCATAAGATTTGAACACTTGAAGCTTTGTGGTCCAAAAAAAGCCTTTTATCGTCAGGGAAAATGAGGGACATAGTATTCTTAACCATTTATGGTTCACTTGTTATATATGAGATGCTGTGAATTGACTTGTCGTTGTTTTTGGGGACGTTCATGATCCTTTCCGAGAAATCTGTTGACGATTTGATGAATTGGTCTCATGACTCAACTAAGTGGGGTTTAGCTCGTGGAAGTAAGACTTAATCGTACAGAAATGTTTGATCTGTATAGTTTTAATCTACTGTAAACCTGAGAAAGAACAGGTCCATTCAACTCTGTCATATTTTCTGCTTTTATGAGTTTTTTTTAAGGATCTTGATGACGTGGTTGTTAAATTCCTGCATAGGGTTTCTCTCAGTTGGTCAATATAAATAAATTACTTGAAATTTTTCTTACTTTCATATTTGTACAGCCAATAACTCAAAATCTTGTTCACTTAATCGGTTCCTGCTGAGATAAAGGAAGTGTAATAAAGCTCAAGTGGAACCTGGAATTATTACCGTCTGACTGTTGAACTTGCCACATTTAATATTACCACATCAAGATGAAAGGCACTGAAATAGAATATAGAGAAATAGGAAAATAATATAATCACAAGACGTAGAAAGTCATGTGAAAAAACGAACAAGATGAAGCTCGAGAAAACTAGGCAGGTTTCCGACCTGTACGTGAATGTATCGATCAAATTTTCACCCTTCGACTGAATATAGAATACAAACATACTTACCAGCGGTCGACACTTGCCATATTTCTTGACCTGAAGGCAGCATTCGATCGTGCAGTGTTGTGGGAGTGTTTGACTGTGAAGGGATTAGCGAGCAATTATGTAGCACTAGTCAGAGCATTTGTGTCATAGCTTATAGAGATTTGTCGTGTAAACTGATGACATTCAGTGATGTCCCCGTCACCGTTCCTATTTAATTTCGTTAAAATATACTAATGGACATACCCTTAGGTACATCTAACTTGTCAGAGATGTAGGCGATGTGGTAGACATGCAGTACACAGATGATCTTGTCGTGCTAGGTGAAGATGCTGACGCAATCCATGGTCTTGTGAATGCGTTGAGCAGAAGTCAGTATACTTGGTACGCGTTTTGCACCTGTTAAATGTAGATGATGGTTGATTATTGGTATGTAACTACTAGTTTTATCGGGGAGTAAAGTAGTGGAATGGGTTGACGGTTTCGCTTACTCGGGGAGTTGCATTGATTCGAACGAACTGGTTGCTGACGAAAACCCAGCTCGGATACAGTAGGTCCGTTTGTCTGTTGTTAACTTGCGTCATCTGTGGCGTTGACCAGATATCCAACTACCTGTTAAGTGACGAGTATACTACGTCTGCAGTTTGTTCTGTTCTGCTTTATCGCTCAGATATGGCCGTTGAAAGTAGAAGACATGGAGCGATAACAGGTTTTTTTAAATCATAGGTGTCATCATAGCATTGTTCACGTAAGTTGAAGTCATTGTGTGAGTAATATCGAGGTCAGGTGAAGGGTACTAGGCAAGAAAGTGAAGTCAGTCGGTGAGGTTGTAAACCTTCATCAACCGAAGTGGCTTAGACATGTGTTGTGCATCCTGAACCACTGCTCACTACGACATGCAATGCTAGAGGAAGCTGGATAAAAGGGTTCGAGGTAGTCAGACTAAGATGTGGCTTCAGTGTATGAAGTCTCTAACTGTTTGTCTGTACAGTGTAGACAGGAGTCGACTGCCTGGTTGGGATCCCTAAGATGATCCAAAACAGCGGTTGATGACTCTCGGTGAAATGGCTGAAAATCGGTCACAATGGATCACATGTATTTACTCTTTTATGTCTTGTGTAGTTGGAACATTTTCGTTGACTTTCATTTTCTAATTCATTTTCCTAGCAGGTATCGTTATCTCCTTTGATATCAGTCTTTCTGAATCCATTTATCCTTTGATTGCTACTGTGATGTATAACAACTTGAACGAATGTGCTTATGCGGGATATTCTTCTTTGATTTTGTCTTTCTGTCTATGCGTTTATCAGTTTACAGTGATAAATTTGTACTTGCTAATGAATTAGGTGAATGTTTTTTTCTAAAGTGCTGCTGCTGTTCACCTTTAGGGCTTTTGCTTCCATTCAACTGTACCTCTTTCCATTGGTTTCTATTTTATGTGTTGGTAGTAATCTAGCTTTATGTGTAGTTGAGCCAGATCTTTTGTTGGTTTTTTTTTTCATATCTCTCACTTTCAATCATTAGTTCGGTTACTTAACAGAATATGTCTGGCTTTCGTAACGCCAACACCATTACTATTAGCTATAGTGTTTATTCAACCTTTTAATGTGTCCGTATAGTAGTAAAAATATCAATACTTACCAACTAGTAATTCTTAGTACGTTGTAGTCAAGAAAATAGCTTCTGCATAGAACTCATGTAAGAACATGGAAATGTTTCTTCAGAATGCAAGATTCTGTCTTAATGACAATATTTAATTCCTATCAAACAGACAGATGACATGAACATAGGATCTTCTACATAACTGCATCGATTCAAGTTGCCACACTTACATTAGTATACAAAGAACAGGTGGATAGGAAAAGACTGTTATCAAAGTAATCGCATTTGTGTGAGATAATAAACATTTTCAAGATGATGGTTAGAGCAAATATTCCAGCTTTAGAAGATGTCAAGGAGTAAATACACTTGCTTCATTGTAATTGATTTTCAGCCATATCACTAAAGTTCCTTAACTACTGATCCCTTTCATCTCGGTGATCCCTTACCCAGGTAGTCTACGTCTCTCCATACAGTTGTCTTATAGAACCTTCTTTATTTTACAATTAGGTTTTTCTCAATGTAGTATTCCTTAGAAAGTGACATCAGTTGAAGAATCATTAAAAAATTGTGAGCACTGGCTAAGTGTTTCGTTTTAATATTGGACTCCTCGGCAGTACATATCCATAACCATTATAGGGATCGAACAAGAATTTTCTTAAATTTAAAAGCTTGGAAAAAAAAACTGACTGGTTCATCTGAAGTTATTTACACTATTCATTGCTATAAGTTCGGTAATGCATTGACTTATCAAGTCATTTCACGTGAAAGTAAGATATGAATAAAGTTGAGCAAATCAATTAAGATACGAGTTAACATAAGGATAAAGTGATCATTAAATGAAAATTACATGATTTAACTCCACTGTTATTACTATGAAAGAACTTAAGACGATTAAATGAAGTTTTGTCATCTCAACAGACATGAGTACATACCATTATATTTGAATGAGTGACTAGTAGTGAACTCTAGGACATAGGTTTCGTTTTATTATTAACCTGTCAACTGAATATACCTTCATCCTAGTGAATAATGATGTTCTCACTGAAACTTGAACTCAATAGCTATTACTTCAAATGCCAGAGTGTTATCCACTAGTCTCATAAAAACTACACCATTAAAAGCTTCTATACGTGTTGTTATAGTATGTTTTCTTGTTATTTAAACTAAGTGATTTCCTGGGAAATATAAAATGTACCATCTTATTCAGTTATAGCTTAATAATTTGGAGATTTTAATTAATTGAATTGTGAAACTGAACCTTAATTCATCGATTACTGGATAACATGGATAAATCTTGCTGGAATAGATATGACTCAAAATTGTATCACAATCAGAAAAGTGAACTCCGACATTGTAGAAATGCCAAAAAGTAGAATAACTTGAAAATAAACAAGATGGATACGAAAAAAGGGAAGTCTTTCCCAAAAAATAAATAAATAAAGAATATTACTGAAGATGTATACTGGCTAGCAGTAGAATCCAGGATGCGCATTTCGTCTTATTTGGGACGCGTCAGCTGAATGTACCTGCCTCCCAGTGAGTGGTGCTGTTCCCACCGAGATTCCGACTCGGGAGCTATCGCTTCAAACGCCAGAGCGTTATCCACTACACCACCGAGCCATGATAGCCACTTCTTGTGTTACGGGTATAATAGGAACAACATCAATCACTGGAAGGCAGGTACATCCAGCTGACAAGTCCCAAATAAGACGAAATGTGCATTCTGGATTCTACTGCTAGCCACTATCCATCTTTACTATAACTAAAACACAGGGAATATCGAGGCATCTACACAGGAGCCCATATACCAATAGAGACCGATCAATTCGGTCCAATCAACGACGGTATAATACAAGCAATAACACTAAAGATTATTACTAATAGCAATTTTCAGCTATATCATATAAAGAGTTTTGAATTACTGATTTGTATTATCCAAAGAAGCCAGAGCCTAATTAATCTCTTGTAAACAACTCAGACCAATAGCCAGCGATGTAATAGTATAATCGATTTCATTCACTACTCCTCTGATTCTCTTTTTTTGTTAGCTGCTTATTATGCAACTGAAATGGTTGTGTATGTATTTGGTAAAGGATTTATTGAGGTACGATAGTGAATAATAATTTCGCTGTCGTATAATGTTATGTGGATACTTGGTTAGACTTTCTTAGTTGTTTAATTCAGTAGCACTGAGTACTATAACCATTGTGTCAGGTTTTACGTTGGTTGTACATATGTTAAAATTTGTACTTTAAAACAATAGATTATGTTTGAATAAATAATCATGTTTATTTTATTTCACTGTACTTTGTTCAAACTATTCTATTTTGATTACTATTTACTGATATACTTGTAATTCTACATTATTTTATTGGATCGAATTGTTCGACCTCTATTAGCATATGGGCTCCTATACAGATGGCTTCAATATTGCCTGAATGTTAATTATAATAATTTGGTTGGTTGTGGCTAGCAGAGGAATCCAGGACGCGCGTTGCATAGTGGATAACGCTTTGGCGTTTGAAGCGATGGCAACAAGGTTCGAGTCTCAGTGGGGAATAACATCACTCCGCACTGGAGTGCAGGGACATCCAGCTGACGAGTCCCAAACAGGATGAAACGCACATGCCAAATTCTTCTGCTAAGCACAACCAATCATATCATTCCATTCTGAGTTGTTTTTTTTATTGAATAACTTTTATACACATGATTGTTTTTTATTCTTACAGGTTATTCATATCATGTTGCGAGTGGTACTGCAGAATGGATTACAGCTTTATCATTTCTGAGCTTTCTCTTATCAATGGCATGGGAATTAAAAGATCATCGAGTACATAGTGTAAAGGTAAGTCATACTCTTGTAATTGAATTGTCTTTTTAATTACTTTTCTTCTTCAAAAAACCAGTTAGTTGATGAACATACTCAAGTAGAATTTAAACAACGTAATGAGAACACGAAGATTGTCTTCACCTGACATCAGTGTTTAAAATCCGGATCTTGTTCTTTATGCTGAGTGCAGAAGATCTCCACACTGGTTTCAGGTTACTGAACGCCGGTTCTGGCTTTGACGTCCTCGTCTATACCGCCTGTAGTTAAAACGAAGCTGCCTAGATAGGTGACAGAGGCTACTTCCTTTAAGTTTCGCCCGTTGATGGTGATTGGTGCTTGTTGTGGTCATTGTTGTTGTTGTTGGTTGGGTATCTTCATCACATCTATCTTCTCTACGTTCACCTGAAAGAAGTGTAGTCTTCGCTGCCTTTTCTGCCAACTTGGTGGTCTTCACCTGTAGATCTTCGAGTTTGTGCAACAAGACATTAAACATAAATCATCATTGGCGAAATCCAAATCTTCTAGGATCTTTTCCCTAGTCCAGAGTATGTCCATCTTCTCGTTCCTCACTGTTAGTTGCATGATCCAGTCCACCACAATCAGGAAGATGATCGGTGATAGTAGACAGCCTTGTCTTACTCCTATCTTCACTTCAAAAGTATCACTGAGCTTTCCATTGTCAATCACTTGGCATGTGCCGACTTCATAAAGCTGTTGAATGAGATTGATAAAGATTTGTGGCACTAAAACTGTAGTGTTGAAGCATCTGCCTGCCAAATTACTTGTCAGTCGACACTGTCAAAGGCCTTTTCAAAGTCGATGAAGTTGAGGTTGAGAGAGAGTTGACTCCCATTCCATACTCTGTTCTATGATGATGTGTAGTGTAGCGTTGCGATTTGATCTGCACACGATTTGTACTTCCTGAATCCAGCCAGCCGGCCAGCCAGCCTGTTCCGGTCATACTTTTGAATCCAGTGCATCTTTTTGTCTCTCCAAGATGATGCGGCTTAATATTTTGCTTGCTTTCGGTGGACAGGAGCTTGATTCCGTGCCAGTCCTTGCAAACACTTAGGTCTCCCTTCTTTGGGAGTTTGAGACAGTAGCTCTTCTTCCAATCGAAAGGCAACTTTCTTTTCTTCCAAACCTTTCACAAGTATTAGGGTATCCGGTGTTGTCTCTGGGTCTGTTTTCAGTGGTTCTGCCGAAATTCCATCTCGTCTTGCCACTTTCTCGGATTTCAGCAGTTTTATGGCGTTCAGGATTTCGACTTCCGTTGGAGGGCTTGTGCTCACTGATAGTTCAGTAGGTGAGCTGTTGCTGGTATTTCTGGCCAAAGTGCAGGTGGTGGTCGACTCAAGAGATTTTTGAAGTGGTCAGCCCATCGTTCCCTTTGTTTCTCTTCTTCCTTAATTAAATTTCCGTCATCATCTCTTATTGGTTTCATCTGTGTTGATCTCTTCCCTCCCAGGTAGCAGTTATCTGGTTATTTGATACAATGTTGTCAGGTTTGAGACAGTAGCTCTTCCTCCAGTCGCAAAGTACCTTTCCTCCCTTTCAGACCTTCTGCAATAGTGGTGTGAGCATGTCCTCTGATGTATTTACGTCTGTTTTCAGTGGTTCTGCCGGAATTCCATCTGGTCCTGCTGCTTTCTCGGATTCCAGCAGCTTTATGACGTTCAGGACTTCCGCTTTTGTCGAAAGGCCTTGCTTCAATGGTAATTCTGTGGCTGGACTGCTGGTGATATTTCTGACCAAGGTGCAGGTGGTGGTCGATTCAAGAGCTGTTTGAAGTAGTCAGCCCATTGTTCCCTTTGTTTCTCTTCTTTCGCAATTAAATTTCCGTCATCATCTTTTATTGGTTTCATCTGTGTTGATCTCGTCCCTCCCAGGTAGCAGTTATCTGGTTATTTGATACAATGTTGTCAGATCTCTCCTACCAGCAGCCTGTTCTGCTTCACTTGCCATTGTGTCACAGAAGTATCTTTTGTCTTTGCGCCCACTCTTCTTCACTTCTTTGTCCAGTGTAGTGTTTAATACATTGTGCTCAGTTCCTCTTGTCGTTGTTCATCCTTGCATTGATTTATCTTCTGCTTCACCGTCCTCCTCCCCCTGCTCTATCAGCTTCCATGTGTCTGTCGAGATCCATTCCTTATCTTCCTTCTTCTTCGTTGTCAACACGGTTATGCAGGCTTCTTCAGAGATGTTCCTCGATATCTCCCATTTTGTCCTGATGACTGACTGACTGACGTGAAGATGTCCTTTGTAGTTTCATCCTTCAGTTTCTGTTCTTTGAAGGTTTTTAACTTGGTTTTGAAGGTAGGTTCCTTGCACTAGATAGTGAGTGGTGTGAAACTACCTGCATCTGCTCCCTTCATCTTATATCCAGTATGTTGGCTGCATCTCCACTTTCTTCACATTGAGATGAAGTCGATTTGGTTTTTGGTGTGTCCTGGTGTCTGATGAAATCCATGTCGCTTTGTGAATATCCTTGTGCTTGAACACAGTGACTCCAATCACCAAATCGTTGAATGTACAGAATTCTGCAAACAGTTCTCCATTCTCGTTCATCACCTCACCGAATGCTTCTCGACCCATGGTTAGTTCTCTTCCTATGTTGTCTGCTCGCAGTTTGGGATTCATGTCGCGTATTAGAATTTCGATGTCGCGAACTGGTGTGGTGTCTTGTCCAGTGTTGATTGAAGTTGTCTGTAGAATTCCTCCTTTTTCTCTTGCTGTGCATTATTTGTAGGTGCGTAGCATTGTACGATTGTATGTCAGTGTTACGAGGCTACGTTATTGCTTAATTATTATTATTATTTGTCTCTTGGTTTCCTAAGAGAACACAGGGCTTCAGTAGCATGTCTTCAATGCTCTCGGTTCTCTGAAATCTTTTGAACCTGGCTCCATGGCAGCTCACAACCTGTCATTTCCTCCTCGCAGGATCTCCTCCATGTCACCTTCATCTCCGACGCCCAACTCGTCGAATCCCATCTGGGTTCCACTCGAGCAACTGGTCTGACGCATGATATCGCCAGTCGGCCTTCTCAGTGTATGCCCGATCTATCTCCACTTCCCCATTCTGCATATTTGTTGAGTGATAGGTTCTTGGTTGGTTCCTCCCCAGAGTTCCTTGTTGCTTATTCTTTACGGCCATCTGATCTTCAATAGCGAGCGTAGACAGTTGTTGATGAATATCTGTAGTTTATTGGAAATGCCTTTCGTATTGCACCAAGTCTCTGAGCCATACAGAAGGACTGAGTTGACTGACGTTGGTATTGAAAATCCGGATTTTGTTTCACGTGCTGAGCGCAGAACATCTCCACACTGGTTTCAGGCAAATAAACTCCTGTCTATTGCTTAATAGTAAACGAGCGATATGAAAAAAAGGAAGTTTTTTCAACTGATGAAAACTCTTATAATTCACTATTTTAAACCTTTATTTTGAGAAATTCATTTAGTATTTTCTCATTTCGATATAGTCTGAACTTTATTCTTTTCTAATCTATTTCAACAATTATTAGCAGTTTTAATAAAAAGTATTTTTTTCTTTTCAAATAAACGCCTTTTTCTTCAATTCAATACATAGATATACGATCATTTTCATGATTTTATTGTCATATCTCATACGTTAATGATGATTTTTATAATCTTCTTCTGAAGTACTATGCAGCATTATATTAGTTCTTAAGGAAAACTGATTATTTGTGGTAAATATAACTAAGTATACACTGGTTTCTTCAAAGATGATATTGTTGAAGAGAAGAGAATTTTTCAATGAATTACTTTGTGTATCCTTAAATAACTCTTTGATACTAAATGATGACATTAATTAGGAACTCATAAAATCGAGTATATAAAACAACCTTTTGCTATATTAATTGTAATAATTGATTTTATTTGGCAGATAATAATTATTATAGACATTATACTATGTGTACAATAACTAACTGACAAGATTTCATGAATTTCTGTTTAACTAAATTGGAATTAGTATTGTTAACTCTCATATACTACTTAGAAGTAGTATTCATCATGGACTGATATCAGTTGGGGAACCGTTGAAAATCTGGGAGCACTGTACAGTCGGAAGTGAAGTGGATGCTAACTGAAGACTTTGGGTGATAGTCGCGCTATGTTGTGAATTGATAGAAGTTGGAAATTGTTAACCACTGGAAACTGACCCAGTGGCTGAATGGTCAACGCGTTCACCTTGAGATTTGAAGGTCCTGAGTTCGATCCCTAGCCGGGTTGTGGGTGCATAAAGCTGAGGAGTCGCATACTAGTTGGACGAAACAGTTATCCAGTTCTCCCATATTTTCAATGGTTCCTCAGTTGATATCAGTCCATAATGAATACTACTTCCAAACTAAAAAGAAATCCTCATTCATCTCAAAAATTCATATACTATTATCTAATTGATAGGTTATTGAATGCAATTTTAAAAAGATTTAATTCATACACATTGATACTTGAATTCAATTCTAGAACTCTTGACTCATTCTCGTAAAGTATTCTTACCAACTACATATATAGACAACACTAAACTGACTGTAAATCTAGTCACTTATCGATGAGTAGAAGTTTTCCATGTACTGATATCTATAGTGGACATACATGTCAAGCTAACCGACGCTATGCTTCATGTTACTTGTACATATACATATAATAGCTGACATTGAAGGAGTTTTTATAATGTTTATATATAAGTCACAGATAAGCTCGTAGTTTATACTTCGTGTTCAATATTCATCCATTTACCATTGATAAAATACATGCTGTAAAAATCGGTGTTAAAAAACCTTGAATAATTAATGGTGATTTTATGACACTGAAGGGACATCATGGAAACCTATATTACTCCGTCGAGCTTTCTTTGACAAAGAATGAGATTCGTTTTTTGGAAGGCTGTATTGAACATCATGAATACGCTGAAAACTTGAAAATCTATTCTTTCCAATCATATAAACCCTAACCGATGAACACTCAAATGACATATAGTAAATCACTTCGGTGAAATTTCACATTGTTTTGCCTGAATTAGATAGAAATATACGGCAGTGATCAAACTCATTGTACGAATTCTCATATGATGAAGAATAACAATTACGTGGATTCACATATTGCTTACCAAAAGTTTCATGTCAAACAACCTCATAGATATTTTCCCACTATCAGCGGTGAAATACATCTCCACTTACTTTTTTTAGCAATTCAGCTTCAAACTCTATCACTTAGGCTTAGATATACCTATACCAAACAAACTGCACATTCAGGTTCATTTAGAAAATCTTATTTATCAAATGAATGATCTGTTTCATTTCTGCAGTGCCTAGAAGACTTCAAATCCATGTTACTTGATT